TGAACATCTTATTTTTCTCACTCCTTTAAAAATGAAAATTATCACACTATACTCATGGCACTGTGCCTTGCTTTTCTGACTCGAACAATATAATTTAGCAATCTTTACTTATCAGTCCAAGAAAATCTTCCACATTTTTTAATGGCTATGCACTAACTATATGAGTAGACCAAGTATTATTTAGCCCTCTATTAAAGAAATTTGTGTTTCTTCTAGGACATGCTATTATAAACAATGCTTCAAGAGATAACTGTGTACACCATTGTGTGTTTATGCTGTTAACTCTTTAGAAGAAATTCCCAGAAGTAAGACTGCTGGGTCAATTAGTAGGTAGACATCAGACACTATCAATACCAACTGCTGGTGAGTCTGGAAGAGTAATAAGAACTCGTATCTTAGGTCTTCTGTAAGTTCATGCAAACACTTTGGGAAAGAATCTGGCAATATCGAATGAGGCTGAAATCCCCATACCCTCTAACTCAGAGATTCTACTGCTAGGCAGAAACTCACAATATGCTATGAGTTATATATAAGCCAGTTAATAGCTTAATTAGTGATGGTAAAACAAAAGAGAAAGAACAAGTGAATTTTTAAACTATGATATATTGGTAAAATGGAACATAAGCCAATAGTGAAGAATGACTGAATGGAGCTGCAGGCTTCAACAGTTACTTAACTTCTCCGGGTCTTGGACAATTACCTAATCTGTCTGTGCCTGAGTCGTCCCACCGGCACATCAGGGAGAGTAACGGCACCTGCCACACAGGACTGCTAACATCTGTCAAGTCTCTAGGACACTGCCTGGCATGTATACATGTTTGTTAAATGAAATGAATCTCACAAATGTAAGTTGAGTGAAAAGCCAAGTTTCAGTAAACGACATTCAGCACAACACCACATACAGAAGGTATAAAAAACAAACGAAGTAATACTATATGTTGTTATTTACAAATGTAGAAATGTTACGAATAGAAGGGGATGAAAACACCAAATTGCAGTTGGTGACACTGGAGCAGGAGGTGATTTGGAGGAAACCTCAGGGAGGTTTAAGAGTGTTGGCCGTGTTTGTTCTCACATAGTATGTGCGTCCCTGCTGCTTATGTCATTATTCTTCAAAGTTCTGTGTACGCTGTAAGAGCACCAGAATCAGTAAACAGCACTTTTAAAATGAGGCATAATCAATGGAAGAAAAGCAACAGGGTGTGTGTTTCCAAAATGATCACAAGCAAATACAAGAAAAAAAATCTAGCTATAGATACGAAACGGGGAAAAGCGTAACTAGTAAAATGCACAAAGCAGAGCATCTAGAGCAAAGTCACAGAGATCAGTTACGGCAAAAAGATTTTCAGATTGAGTAAAAATCAAAATCTAGCCATAGCTACTTGAAAAAAAATTCCACCCTCACAACCCAAAGATAATTACTGTTAGGTATTTTTTAAAAGGACAAAATATTCATATAGGAGCACTGAAAATAATGGGCTAAGCAGAGCACCACCAGGTAAACGCTGAAAAAAAGGAGAAAACAGTCAAAACATAATCACACAAAACAGAATCCAACACAGAATTCAGAGCTAAAAGCGTTTACAGGAAAAAGGGATATTTGAAGTCGATTAAAAAAACAAACAAACAAACAGTGCACCCAGCAGATGCCCTAAACCATTATGTGCTGGGCAACGTAACTTCAAAAAACATAACACGAACACTTAAGAGATGTAAGGAGAAAACATCTAATCAATACTCGTAACAGAAATTTTCACATACCTGTCAGAAATCAGGTGAGCAGAGACCAAAATAGCTTAAGAAACTTCATTTAGATGGAGGAAGAATTTTATACTCAAATAACAGAAAATACATTTTTCCCAGACTCAAAACATTGATAAAAATTAATCAAATATTGGATGTTTTATGAAGACAGAAATCTTCAAAACTTCCCCAAAGTTCTAATCTGACAGGTCACATATACTGCTTGCCATACAAGGGAGTGGTAACTAACAACCAAATACTGGTCAAAACAAAAATGTCAATGTCAATGAAACCTGAAAAAAAGAGAGAGAGAGAGAGATTTAAGCCTTTTATGCCTTGTGATAGATTCTGGGAATTTATTCTTAGAAAACAATTTAAAATATGAGGAAAACTAAACCCACAGAGATATTGCTCCCAGAATTATTCACATGGCAAAAATTATGAGTAATCTAAATGTCTAATAATAGGGAAATACTTAAGTACGTTACAGTATCTTCATTTGATGGGGTGTTACACAGTCATTTAATTGCTTGATATGAATACTGTGTCACAATATAGAAAACCCCTATGTGAAGGTGAAGGAGATAATCAGGATTCACATTATGTGAACAGAAATAGTCAGTTATCAGCAGACAAGATATAAATGGTCAGCATATCGCGACTACAATTCAAGAGATGAAGGCATGCAGACTAAATTGAGAAACCACTTATCTCACTATCAAGTCATCACAAGATTTTTAAGACAAACGCTCTTTACTGGCGAGGGTACAAGACTCAAGCATTCTCCCATACAACTGCTGAGAACTTACGTAAACTGGTACAATCTTTCTGCAGTTCTTTCTGACAGTATGCAAAAAATTTGTGTAAACCTTTTGACAAAGAAATTCCACCTTTGGGAATATGTCTTTTTAAGAAAGAATTTTAATGTGGGCAGAAGTACAGTTACCAGAATGTTTTCACTATGTTATTTAAAATAGTGACAAATGATAATAACCTAAACGTCTAAAACCTGGAGATTAGATAGAATAGGATGTAGCCATACTATGTCACATTATATAATGTTTTAAAGTGATATAAAATATATTTACTGGCAGGAAAACTCACAATATGCTTGTGTGATGAAACGCAAGACACAAGGCCTGTGGAGAGTGATTCCATTTTTGTTGTATACAGTTGAACGATTCCTTTTCCTCTGTATTTTCCAAGTGTAAACAATGAAACGGATTACTTACAAAAGAAAAAAGTTACTGAACTATACATATGAGACAAAAACTGAAAGAAAAATGTAAAACCTCATAGAATATGGTTATAGAGGAATGTCAGGGCAATGGGGTGGTGGGTGCTTTTCTTTCTTTCCGTCTTTTGCAAACCCTCTGCCTTGTTCTTACATTACTCTTATCCCTGAAAACACTTTAAAAACTACTGGGGAAACCGACACTGACCAGCAAGCCCGCACCAGGGAGAACATGGAATGGGCTCTGCCCCCTGTGGCCCTGAACCTCCAGGCAGCCTTCTGTAAGTGGAGACGTATTTCTCCGCATTTCTCTAGGGGAGCCTCTGGGTGACCTTGTGTACCAATCAAGAGTTCAGGGCGCACAGAAAGGAGCTGGTGCCAAACTGCCACCAGAGCCTCTGTGACTGCCTCAGTCATCACTCACAGAATCAGAGAAAAAGACCTGATGGGAGAGTGGAGCTGCTGGCCAGCTCTCCCACAACTGCCTGCCGCGGGGCCTGTCTGGGCTTCCATCCCTCAACCACTGGAGGGGACGGTCTCTGAGGCTGCCTTGTTCTCGCTTTCTGGTTCTAGGTGCAGGGAGGAGACAGAGCCAGCAACAACCAGGGGAGACTTGGAGATCCACAGATGTACCTACAAAGAGTGATCACAACTCAAGGAGATCAAACGGAAGCCACACTGAGCTACAGGAAACCACGGTTTCGTTCGGATTAAGCATCTGGATTTCACCAGATGCCCCTACTCACTCTGTAATCTCTGTTCACATCGCTGAGCTGCCAGTAGTTATTAGGGAGGCCCATTCGCCTGTACTCTTCACCGAGATCGATCAGCATCCAGCCCTGCTCCCTTTCTTCTTTGTCCAGCTTGGGGTTGAATGAGAAGCAGTATAGCTCCTCATACTTCACTGCAAGAAAAGAAATAATGAAGTCAAATCAAGCCAAGCCAAAGCCAGAACCAAATCTCCCCAAAAGCACGCTGTCCAGGCTGGAGAGGCCAGTCTAGCTCCTCGCCCCTCGGGACTCTCCCTGGGATACCCCGTCTCTGTGGGTGGGGTTACCCACCGCCTCCCAGCAAGGACATGATGACCTCAGAGTAACCAGACTCCATTTTGCAAAAGCTTCTTTCATTTTAGGAACATGGCCTTCTCCATTTTGTGGGTTTTTTTTTAGTTGCTTTTGAAAGCAAATACATTTTTAGACCACATAAAATATGGCACTTAGAGATTAATTAAGAACATACGTGTGCATTTATGATAGCTTAGACATGGAAGCAACTTAAGTGTCCATCAACAGATGAATGGATGAAGAAGATGTGGGGTATATATATATATTAATTAATCTATATTAATATATAATTATATAAATTATATATAGTAATTAATTAATTATATATTTTTATATATACACTATGGAATACTACTCAGCCATTAAAAAGAATGAAATATTTGCCATTGGCAGTAACATGGATAGAACTAGAGATTATCATACTAAGTGAAGTAAGTCAGAGAAAAACAAATATTATATGATATCACATGTATGTGGAATCTAAAAAAAATGACACAAATGAATTTATTTACAAAACAGAAATAGACTCACAGACATAGAAAATAAACTTATGGTTACCAAAGGGGAAAGGTGAGGGATAATTTAGGAATTTAGGATTAACAGATACATACCACTATATGCATATATATATATATATAAAACTGAATCACTTTGCTGGATACTTGGAACTGATACAATATTGTAAATCAACTATAGTTCAATTTAAAGAAAACAGGGGTGGCGAGGGGTGGGGAGAATGTATGTATCCCTTAGACATCCAGAACTCAATCTGTTTATGTACATCGAGCTTGGATTTGGGATGGCCTCTCAGAGGCGGACAGAGGCCAGGCCACTGCCCTGTTTTGATGCTCACAATGTTAAAAAAGAAAGAACAAAATAGTTGAAAAAGCTGTGGAATATATTTAAATGTTTGCCCTGAAAACACGTGAACTTTAACAACTATGTATGTGTCATAACTGCATTGCTCATACAACACTGACAGGATTCACTAAGAAGTATCAATTAATTCATAGTACAGGGCACCCTGATGGTGAGGGACCAGTTGAAGGATGTGTGATGACAGACTTCTTTCCGTTCTGCCAGGATATCTTTGACTTTATGCATCACGTGCTACCCTGTGAGGCCAGGCCCAGTAGCCGTCCCTCAACCCCCACCCGTAGGAAGAGCTAGGATTTGGTGTTCTTCTCACCTGGCCCTGCCACGTTGAGGGAAGCAACTAGGCCAGCGCCATCCAACAGAAATATAATGTAGCCATATATGTCATTTAAAATGTCCTTGTAGTCACATTAAAATAGTAAAAAGAAACAGTGAAATTCACTGTAACAATGTATTTAGTCCAATATATCCAAAAAGTCACTTCAATCTAGGCAGAATGTGAAATTTGTTAATGTTTTATGCATTTTGCTTTGTACTGTCTCTGAAATTCCATGTGTATTTCAGAGCACATCCTGGCTCAGACTAGCCACATACCAAGCCCTCGATGGCCACATGTGGCTCCTACTGGACAGTGCAAATCTAAGCACTTCTGGTGACAGTAATTCCGGCTAATTCTCACTGAACTCTTGTTTCATTCCTGCTTCTGTTCTCACCAAATGTACTGACCCATCTAGCAGGCATCATGACAGGCCTCACTGCACAGATGAGAAATCTGAGGCAAAGCGGGGTTCTGGGACATTCCCAGGGTCACACAGCCAGGACACGAGGAGTCAGGTGTGACTTAGGCAGTCTGGCCGGACAGCGCACGCTCGAACCACCACTCACACTGCTCCTGCAAGGCACCCCCTCACTTGTCTCCCCAGATGGGCCGGTTTTGTTTTGGTTTTTTTCTGTCCTGGTTCCATCCCCCTCATCTTCCTGTTTTTTTTCTCCAATAGGATTCTTTCTCCTCAGTCTTCTTAGATCATCCCATTTATTCCTTAATCTGTTGATGGCAGTTCCATGGTCCTAAACATGTGCATGAAAGCTCAGTAAAGCATCTCACCACAGCGAGAGGCCGCAGTGACACACAGGCAGCCTAAGGTCAAAACCCAGTTTCGAGCTTCTTTTCATTACCAGTGAAATAACCCATCTACAAAGATAGTGAGTAAGTGTCATATTTTAGGTACCATACTTTTTGCATCAGATACACACTCTCTCTCATGAAAAAGAATCAAGATGCCGGGGTGGATCAATGAGAAAAGCTACATTCTATTTCAGTCTCTCCTGATGTCACATTTCCAAACCTGAAAATAGAGCATACCACCGATTTCAACCAAAAAGAAAACTCGCACACACAGGGACGTGCACACACGCAGTGTAGACACTTTCAGTAAAAACGGTTTCTTGCCATCTTAGCCAAATGGAGCAGACGGCACATAAAACTGACATCCTGTTCTGGGAATGGCTGGCTCGACACCGACATATGTTTTCCATCTCTCAGTGCCATTTTCATGACTCAGGCTTCTGATATCATAATGTTAACCGCAAATGCGATTTGTTTAGGATGCCAGAAGAATCTCTTGAGAAAGCCTCAGCTCCCTCGGTGAAAGAAGAGGAATGCGGGGCAATGACGGAAGGTAAATTTCCTTTGTTAGATGCCTACAAACGAGTTTAAAGGCATAAGAAGAAAATGACTCCATGACTGCAGATAGTTTTCTGTGTATCGGCTCATTCTTGTTGCCCTTGGGAAGAAGTGAGGAAACGGTCCATAAATGAAAGCAAGAATAATCTGTAACCAACGTTAAGGAGATACTCGAATTGGGAGACATCAGAATGGGTTGCCACCAAAATGATAAAATTTTCCCTTTAATTTATTTTTAAGGAAAAGGGTGATCAACCATATCTTTGGCCCAATTTACATAAAATTCTACACGAGGGCAGAGAAACCCAGAGCTCAGTCTTGTTAATGTGGGTACGTCTCCTACCCAGACACCAGCCCAGGAGAAGCCCTCCGCTGAGGACAGACTCGTTCAAGAAATTTAAAAGCATCATTATCACAGATGTAAATCTTACTGAACATTTCCTATTCACATATTCTGCTCCCCTCAACTCCACCTCCGGCAAAATACACAGCAGAACGTTTAGTAATCGACAGTGGTGGTGGGGAGAGTCAAAGCCAAGCACAAACGAAGCAGGGCTGGAACACCTCCAGTCTTTACAGCATCTGAACTGAGAGAAAACACTCATCTGCTTTGGGAAGGCCACATCCCTGCTGTTCCGCCCACTCTTAAAACAGACATGCTAAGTGCTCCACCAGCTCCTCACATCACAGAGTATGAGCCATCACACCAACATCAAAGGGCCTTTCCTGCTAGTGACAAGGGTGTCAACAGGAGGTGCCTTGAAGGCCTCGCCCCAGGGGCCTGTCACTAGGAGGGCACAGGAACTCCTCTAACAAGAAGCAAATACTCAGCACACCTTTGGCCTGGGTAGGGGTTGGGGTGGGGGTCAACTGAACGTGCACCTCTGATTTAAAAAAAAATTTTTTCAGAAAAGGTTACATGGAAATAATTCTCGCATTTGACTTTATGCACCTATTTAAATCATATATTGCCAAACAAGGGCAGACCTGGAGGTTTCTCTATTTGGAAAGAAAAATGACAATTTCTAAAACAGCACAATAGATTAAGAACGAGTAGCATCTTGGCCATGTTTCTAGGAAGGCCAGATCGGTGACCGGGCAGCCCGCGCAGAGACGCATGCTGAGACTGACTCTGATCTCAGCATCACTGTTCACTGTGTGCGTCTTCCCACAGGGAAGCATGTGTCGCTGAAGTCGATTCAACACCTGCTGCTCTCCTCAACTCCTTCCCTCTCGGATAATCCCACTTCCTACTTCCTGGAGAGGATTTACGCATTCAAGTAGAAACTGCCAACTTGGAACCACCAAGCCCACGAATGCCCTGCTGCTGCACCCAACCCCTGCTCCCTCCTCCCACAAGAAAGGAAAGGGTGTTCACTTCACCAAATGAGAGAGCCCTTGGGTAGAACAAACCAATTAGGGAAAAGGAAAAATAACTGAGCTTGCTTCCCAGGTATTAGGTTAAAGGTTATGAAAACAGAATATTTAGGGGAAAAAAACATAGGGGAATCCTCTCTTGGTATAGGCTAACTGGGAGAAACGAAAGGTAATTTATACTAAAATCATAAGTACTTTAAAAATCGAAAGGAAACTTGTAATAACCAATGTAAACCGTGAATAATACAATTACATTATTGACTGTTATGCAAATTTTTTAAAAATTAAAAAAAAACAAAAAACCCAAACGTGAATCAGCATCAGTAGCATGTGAAGGAAGGGCAGGGAAAAGTCACCAGCAGTCTTGGAAGGACACAGACTTGTGGGGTTTTTAGAACCCAAAGTAACAAAAGTCAAATTGCTCTAAGCGCTCTAATTCATTCACGCAACTTAAAATAAATGTAGCTGGAAAACCATTTAAAGAGGGGTGAGATGATAACACAGCTATTACTGGATTTTGCATATTTAAAATAAAAATGAGACCTTTCTTGTCTATTTTCAACAAACAAGTGCTCGAATTAAACATTAGGACGGTGGAAGCTAACACTTAGTAGAAAAGCGGACCCAGAGATTAGTCTCAGCAATAAAATGGAAACTTACTGCAAAAACTGCTTAAGCGGCAATGACTTAGATAAAAACTGTAAAAAGCTGAATTTAGCAAATGAGACTACAACAATCGGGAGATTTTTTAAATCATATTAAATATGCAGAAGAGTCAAGGACTAAGATGTTCTAAAAATGCTGTAATTTAGGAAAAGTGGGAAAACAAACAAAAGAGATGGTTTAAATATTAAAGGGCCCACAAACACTGCAGAGGGAAAGATAATTGATACAAAAATAAACAGCAGGAGGCAAATTAGAGGGAGGAGAAAAGAAAGAACATGGGAAAATGGAAGGCCTCTGAGAAACAGGGGTCTTCCAGTCAGAAAAATGCAGAACCTTATTAAGTATATCAGATCTACGAGGTTGATTTGTTTTCCCATTTGGGCCACACCCCTCTTTTAACTTATTTCTTTATGAAGAATTCCAGAGCTTACTGGATTCAGCTACATTCTTTTTTGTTGGGCTCTTTTCTAGTCCATGACCAAATTCTTACCCATCTTAATTCACGTGAAAGGCAAACCAAGAAAATCTCAACAAATTTTTTTAGTCATTTGATTTATTCTTGTCCCAGAAATTGTAATTTGGTGAAGAGAGAATCCCGAGAGCTTTGGAAATAACGCCTTCACAGGTCTTGACTTCAATGGGCTCCCAAACATTTCTTCTTTTATTTAAAAAGAAAAAAATGTGTGTCCTCCAGAGGACCTTGGAGTTAGCTGTGTCCACAAGGGGAGCTGAAAATACCTGATTGGTGCCGGTGACCAACCACAATAACCACAGAGATCGATTGTGCGCTGCTCGAGTTCAGAGTCACTTCCCCACCACACACACATACACACATACGCACATTCCTCTTCTGCTATATCTTAAGGCGGGGGTGGGAGTGAAGGAGCAATCTGTAAAAGCCCCTGGGAATGTCTGATAAGCCACCACACCGCAAGCTGAGACCCTCTCCCTAACCTGTCCCCACCCAGATTCAAAACCCTGCTCCCAGGTCACAGGCTGCAACTGGTCCTAATTTTAGCGTTGCCTTTAACATTAAACTGTGAAGCTGCCTGGATTCTACCTCCTCTCCCCACACTTATGAAAGCACTATGTTCTATAGAATGCCAATGTTTTACAGTGCTGGTGGCTTTTTAAAAATCTTCTAAAGTAATGGCTTTAATTCAACTAATTGCTATGGTTTCGTTCTCTGGTCTCTGACTGTGGCTAATATGGAACTCCCAAAACTTCATCTTTAAGCAAAAGTGTGTATTTCTGAAAGCAGGGGAACACAGTGATCTTCCTCCCGGGCGACCCTCCAGTGTGAATCTGGGTGCTGGCTGTCATCAGGGGCCAGAGCCGGCACGGCCACTGCGACTCGCTGTTCCAGCGGCTCGGCTGTCTCCCAGGTCTCTGGGCTGTTCTAAATCCCATTAATCCGGTCAGAGCACACTTATCACCCAGGACATCCATTAATCAGTGACACAGAAACTGCTGGCGCACAACTGCCCTCGCGTTCTCTGCTGCAGGCAACCCACGTACATCTTCCCAGAACTCCTGTTCCAATTATAGTGCGCCCTCCAAAAAGTTCAATTGCTCTTCTGGCTAACTCTGCAGTTCTTTTCAACATACTGAGATGAAACAGCCTCGAAGGGACGACTTGAAAGGGGAGCAAAGTCAAGTCCAAAGGATGGGATTCTGACAGTTCCCTGGCATCCTCTCCATCATGTAACTTTAGCTCTGAGACAGACGATCGGGTCGTAGGTTAAGAATCTGAGGACCAACCAAATGCCTCGGGGAGCTTACAATCCAACTTCTTGTCCTGAATCAAAAAGCATTTCATAAAGAAAGTATACGCACAGGTCCTGCTTCCCATTTCAATGACTTCTGGGTAAACACCAGCAAGGATGTTACTGTTATATAACCGATCTCTGCCATGCACTCCCCTAACACTTAAATGTGTATTTCTTTTAAGCAAAAGAATGCCACAATTCACACAAGACACACAGACAAGAAACACGCGTGTCAAATTCCTTAGATTTACAGCATAGTGAGCTACAAACTTCTTAGATTTACAGCCTAATAAGCTATAAATCTGAAGACCCCAAGAAGACAGATGTAACAAGAGGAGAACTGAGAACATGTATTTTTCAAATCAGCCGAACATCCTTCCCACAAACTTAAGGTTTTGTTTAGGAGAATCCAGGCATACAAACTGCCAATACTCATGGACACTAACAAAGGTCTAGTTATACCAACCTTGGGAAATACAAATTACTATGAAAAGCAACAGAAACCAAACTTTAAAAGCCCCCAGAGGGGGGGAAACTGCACCAGCCCTGTTTGGTATCGATGTTTTCCATACAAAACAATCTGGAGATTTTTGTCTTAGGCCTCAATCAAGGTGGCTGGATTACCCCAGTATGAGGAGGGCATACTTTTAAGATGATTTCACCCTGAAAGTGTAACTCCCTCCAAGATAAGGGGAATCCTATGAACCCTGAAAGAAGCTCATAGCCCAAACCGTATTTCCCCTGCGAGTGGACCCCTGCGGAAGGCCGCGCCGCCCCGCCCTACCTGGCCTTGCGAGGCGGATGAGGGAGAGGTAGACGTCGTGGCAGTCCCTTTCCTGGGGGATGATGAGTTGCAAGAGCTGAAAGTTCTTGCAGCGGATAAGCAGAGGGCACCCAGTAGCGGTTGTAGCCTGTTTCTCGATGGTGGAAATCTGACTGTGAAGAATCTACAACCGAAAGTTAACGTGGATAAGCCCAAGCACAAATAGCAGATAAACACGACAAAAAGTAACACAGGTCTCTGAGCCACACACAGACAAGAAACACACCCTGACCTTCAGCTGGCTTGCACTCGGGTGACAGGAAATGAGATGTCTGGGGAAAGAACCAACTGTCTGAATTCATCATTTTCTTTTGCAATACTGAGCTTTCTGATATCCACGCTAATTATACGAAGCAAACTGTTCAGCATGTAATTCTGCACAGATCCAGGTAAGGGAACGTTTGGGGAGTCGAATGCTGACATGTTCTGGAGAGCTAAAATTAAATAAGGTCATGAGAAGTTTGTAAAATAAACCCTGCAATCAACAAAAGCTAGAGACAGCTCCGCTGGGAAGTGCCACCATGCTCCTTAATTCCACATGGAATGCTCAAGTTCAATAGCAACTTGAGATTTTTGTTTTCTGAGCCCTTGGTGGTCAGGCAGGCTGCAGAAGGGATTTATTTTAAAGGCAATCATGCTCAAGGGCTCTGGCATTTCTGAGGGTCTCTGCTCAGCCCTCAGTGGCAACATGTCACTCTTTAAATTCCTCTCCACTAAGCAGTTCCTGCCACCTTCTGCTGAAACCCTAATGTCCACAAGGTAGAAAAGAGGCAAACTCAGGGGTTCGGGTTCTGGCCGTGAGGTCCTGGCTGGGTGGCTGTATTAAACGAGAGCCACTGAATGGTCTCACTGCGATGGAGCAGAAATACCTAGAGACAAGCCTCTTCCCTAGGTTTTTGTTTCCTTTTTCCTTTTTTAAATTATGAGAAAATTGCAGATAACATAATGAAATGACTAAATGGCCTGCCTTCCAAGCTCCTACAAACAAAGTGGACTGCAAATAGGGCGCTATGTAGACTCCGTGCCTGGTACATTCACATCACTGAATCCCTACTTGACAGCCGGACAGGAAGCCCTCGTATCTCTGGCTATTTCTATGTGTATCTTTGACGATGTTCAGATAATTAGTGTTTAAAATGAGTAAACAGATCAAGTGGATGTGACTCTGTACAGAAAAAGGCAAGGCTCACATTCCAATAAAGAATCCTCTGAACGCCCACACACCAAAATCCCACCCTCCTCACCCTGCAGACAAAGAAAAGGACAGAGGGTCAGAACTTGTTACTTCAAACAATGGAAAACACATACAGCCAAAAATAAGGAATGCATACCCAGGTTTCTTTTCTTGTGTCAGGTGCATTTTCCACAAATATGACATGGGTAGCCGTCAGATACAAAGTACCGAGGGCTGCTTTTTTAGAAGAGATTCGATCTACCAAGCGGACATTTTCCACCTAGAGAAATCAGTTCGACAGGGTTACCATGAAGCCAAAGAGCGATTCACACAAGAAAAAAACAATGAGTAGGTAATCTCGTGCTTAATCTAAAATATGATTTTGAAAATTCTCCCAGTAATAAAAAGCAAAACTTGCCCTTTTAAGGTAATTCGATCTCAGAATGATTCTATCAAAACATACAAATTCACCAATTCCTTAAAAAATGTACCATAAAAGATTTATAGACCCTATTCTTTAAAAACACCCTTTCTGTGTTTTTAATAGGTCAACTTTTACCTCACTACAATTACATAATTCTAATTTAAGGCAGGAGGTATACACATGAGAGTTCTGAGTTTCCACAATAACTGTATATGAACTGCAACCCATTAAAAAGAAAATTATGTATTTTCCTATGTGTTTCTTAGTCATAGAAATGGCCCCACAGCTGTTTGATTTCATATAAACTAGGAGAAAATGCAAATTTACATGTAGAAGTAAAAAGTATCAGAGAAATACTCTGCATGCTTACCAGGAAAACCTACCCAATTAAGATGCTAATGTTTGTAATAAAATCTCTCTAATAAATAGAACTTCCACCTCTGACCTAAAACTCAAACTGTTGGAAGAGACCTCTGGAAACAATAATTATCAAACCTACACCTCTGAGATGTAGAGCAATTTGGAGAATATGTGCACTGGGACCGTTCCAATATGAAAAGTAAAAGAAGTGACAATTCGTGTCGTATGAACAACTTGGAATTGGTGTATCAATGCTTTAATATTTCTTATATTTTATCTGCTACAATTGTTTTGTTAAAAAGATTGGCTTTTTTTAAAATAAAAACCTATTTGTGCTACTTTTATCAGATGAAATCATCAGCTTATGATGATATCAAATAATCAGGAAGCTTTCAACATACAAATTATTTAGTATTTGAAACAAATAAGATGCTTCTTTATACAGAAACAATTCTTTAATAAGTCTTTCACTTTTTGTGCAGTTATAGATCTGGTCAGTGTTACTACTTTTTTCTTAATCTCATTTTGACATTTATTTTCTTTTCAGATTATCTTTTACTGCTGATTTTCAAGTTCTTGCAATCTTTTAATTCTTGTCTGTGAGTAAATCTCTCCCCTCATCTCTTCTCGCCTAATGTTGTGAACTATGTTCTTACTTTTTATAATTTCATAGGCAAAGGTTTTTCTTCAAAGTATCAGATCCTGGATTTATCAACTTGATGTTTCTCTTTTCTAAATGTTAATTTCTTCTTGTGTTTCTTAA